TTATACACATCTTTTCACTCTTTCTCTCTCATATTCCCTTCAAATGATAATTTCCGCAAAAACTCAATTCGAAATAAACAGCTCTTTACTTATATTTGATTTAATTTCAAATTTATTAATATAGAACTCAAATCTCTAATTATTATATTTTAAATTTACATATAAGTATTATTAAAAAGCATTATTTAAAAATTGTTTCGTTAACATGCGAATATAGTAAATAACAATTTTGAAATCTTATGAAATAACTTGAAAATATCAATATTAATATTCGGAACAATATATTTAGACAGTTTAAAACATTATTCTAATCTAGTTTCACAATTAACAGCTTAATATTAACATTTAATTCTATGTTAATAAGTTCTATTTGTTTAGAGACCTATAGACTAATAAAGATTGTCTGCAATATAACATTAACTTCTCTGACATATAAAAATAATATTTTTCAATAAAAGATTCTTAAATCGGTTATTTAAATACTTATAAATACAATATAATATGACTCATATTCTTTGTTAATACTATAATAACAGTTATAACTCAATCATTCTACAAACATTCATTCTAGGTACTTTATAAATCTATCACTTTCTAGAGTATGTTCAGTTTATTTAATCAATATAACCTGTCAAATACTATATAATCTGACTAACAAGTAAGAATATTCTTTATTTAAGAAATATAATTCAAATCATATGCACAAATGTTCAGTCATTTAATAGCAGATAATCGACACTTAAGTATAATATTTATAAAATATTTATTTTGAGTTAAAATAATTTCTTATAATTAATAAATAATTTAAATATTTAAGTTAAATGACTTCTAGTGCCTTCTTACTTACAATTTATTTACAAAAAACAGAGTTTCGTTATAACTACTATGTTTATGTCATATTTATAATAAGCAGATTTGTTCATATTATACGACATTATAACTACTAACACATTGAGAACAACTAAAAGATTCAGTGAAGAATGCAAATGGAAAAGTTCTGATCCACTGTCACGCGGGCATCAGTAGGTCTGCCACCATATGTATGGCATACCTAATGGCAACCAAACGGATTCGTATGGAGGAGGCCTATGAATACGTGAAATCAAAGCGCAAAATAATTTCTCCAAATTTCAATTTTATGGGACAATTGCTTGGATTCGAGACACAAGTCTTCTCTCCGACTAATCCGTGTCGAGAAAGACAACAGCTATTAGTGGAGCCGTTGTCTCCATTATTATGTCGAATATCGTCCTCTTGTGGAGTGGCGCACAATGAGGAGATGACTCCGGGAGACAAATACAGAGGCAGTTCAGCGCCTTCATCGCCATCCAGAATGAGGAGTGAATGCGAAAGACTTGTGTTTGACTTCACTCAAGTGCCAATCAATACAATGAATTCACAGATTACTACTAGTATTTCCAATACATCTCTCAAGTCTAGTCAACTACTGGACAGTCCAATCCGTACCTGAATAGAAGCCAAATGTCTGAAACATTAGACTTGGAGCTGAAGTTTGACATCTACTCGATGTTTATGTCATGAAGCATTTTGTAGTCCAAATCGTTTTGTTAAAATTCTAATCATTTAAATACATTACATTAAAACATTTATATTACGGTAATATTATTTGCGACTCCATATACGATAACAATTAGAGCTCATTCTTGCCATTCAAATATCATTTAATTCACTTCATATGTCACTTATATTAACAGTTTTGTAAAGTAATTCATTATATTTGCGATAACTTTGACCATTGAATACCATTAAGAATTGGA